TGTCAACGTCGTATAGTGATTTTGACAAACGTAACTTGCGAGATACTAGGAGGCTTGCTGCAGTTTATGTACAAGGGAAAAGTGCAAGTTGGACAGGAAGACCTAAGGGCCTTCACTGAAGCGGCCGAAGTGTTGCAAAGGCAAGGACTCGCTGGAGACGGAAAAGTTATAATAGTTACTATCGTTTAAAGTAACTTGCTACAGTTTATGTACCAGGGAAAAGTGCAAATTGGACAGGAAGACCTAAGGGCCTTCACTGAAGCACTGAATCGTTGCTAGGCAAGGACTCGCTGGAGACGGAAAATTCATAGTTAGTTACTATCGTTTAAAGTAACATTATGGAACTTTATTTATGTATTTATGGAACGTACTGTGAATGGAGAAGAGTTTAAGCCAGTTTCTTTGCTTGAGACAAAGAAGCAGAACCATAAAGAAGGAATAATTAGTGGACACAGGTGGGATGCCACAGAAATAGAGGCATATCTCACACAGCATGCGAAGATAAATACAGTTGCCAGAAGTTATAATTTTTTACAGGAATGTGGGCAAGCTGTATATGGTTCGACCTTAAGGGGTGAAACTTACGTCAAGTAGGAGGCTGCTAAGGGGATAAGCTAGGGTGGTACTAGAATCCCAACCCGCTAAGAGTCCCGCGGCTCCAGTATGACAATACAGTATCTACAGGAATGTAATAAAAACGCAAAACGAATCTGGAATTGTGATTTTCGTTAATGAAGTAAACGGAAAAGTAAAGGAAAAGAAGAATTATAATTATTACCTTCCACATGTTACAGGAAGGATATGGAAGAATAAATAGGATATATAGTACAGAAATATAAGGAGAATATTATTTCTGGAGCGAATTAGGAAGAAATGTTGAGAAATATGTGAAATGTGAAGAGATGCGACGACTGCCAGGGGCACGAGCATGAGAGCAAAAAAAAATGGAAAAAGTTATAGGAAAATATAGAAAAAAGGAAACTTATGTACGCGGACATGGATGAAAAATGAAAATAGTGTATAGAAAAACACAGGAGAATATAAATATATACAATTTGAATTTGAGAGAATTCGAAGAAGGAGACAAGGTATATCTGAGAAACTTAGATAGCACGACAGGTCTTTCAAAGAAGTTACAGAAAAAAAAATGGTACTATCCATACCATTTCAAATTATAGAAAAAGTTGGACCAGTGACGTACGCAAGTAAGTACAAAAAAAGGAAAAAAAATAGACAGGTAGTGCACGTCAATAGGTCAAAGAAATATTACGAGAATAAAACAATTGATTATTCCACGGAGGAGGAAGAAGAAATAGGAGAATCCAAAAGAAAAAGAAGAAACGAAAGAAGAAGGAGTTGACCCTTCTAAGGTGGCAACACTGCCATTATGGGAACCAGGAACCCCAATTAACAAACAGCAGAGAAGAAGAAAAGGAAGTCAGGGAGACACCAGCCAACCAAAAATATCAGAACGAATAAAGAAAAGACTAAAATGTTGCTGCATATTCCACAAAACGAAAAAGAAAGGATGGAACACATACAACACAATAATAAACAAGAATGAGACAGCAAAAATAACACAGATGCGATGAGGACACAGACATGTTTTTCGACGCAATAGATGAATAGCGAAAAAAATATCAAAACAACTATAAGAAAAGTTGAAAGCTTGGTATTACAAGGGACGGCCGCTCGAATAATACTAAAATTTTAACAAGGAACGAAGGACAAAACACAGGTAATATAAGTATTCATAGTTAAATATTAGCACAGTTCAATGAAAATATTTTTTTTGAAAACATAATAGTAGATCATAACTAAAAGCAAGTTTTAAGAAAGAGAAATAAGTAAATTAATTTAAAGTTTATAGGGGTCTAAGCTGCTGTTGATTAGTAAGAGCTGGATTCGGTAAGATACCATACGCCAATCCTTTATTGCTATGTCAAAACTGATTAACAGACTTGAATTCCTATCAACTAACAAAGTAGTATAAAGATTGAGTCAGAGCACTGGTAAATAAACAACTAATACAGGTCAAGTGTAAAAAACGTATTTTAAATAAAATAAAACAAAATATTGTAGTTAATAACATACACCAAGAGTTCATTACATCAGTCAATATCAAATTTCATTAACAATGTGAGGAAGAACTATCAGAATCAGCAAAACGTAGTTTAATAGCCTTGAAACATAAATATCAATAACACTGAAAAACAGGTCATTGTGTTTGACGAGAAATCAAAATAAATTCCACCTTTGAATTATTTTAAAAAGATTTAAAAAGAGTGAGAAATTATTACAATAATTTCTGACTCTTTATTAAGAATAAATATAGTAATTAAAATATTTTTCAAATAAGGAAAATTCGTTACACATACGTAACTATAAACAATAAGTGATGACAAGTTGAGAATATAAAAATATATGACTCTAATATACAGGGTTGTATATATAACAGAAAGATGATATATTATATTGTAATATTTAAAAAGTACAAGTCCAATTATTAACATATTAATAGTGCTTTAGATATCAATTTATTTATCAGTTTATAGGCAATAGGCATACTAATATGCAATACTCTGTAGGTTAGTTCATAAAGTCAGATTTATGTAAAGCTATCACTAAAATTGTCTGCAATAAGCAGCTATATATGTATTTATAGTTAAGGTGCATTTGAATTACGCGTAAAAAGTACTAATGCGAACTAAAGTCTGCTTACGGGAGTGCGACCGTCGGGGAGTAATAACAGTGCGATTTGTGACACTGGAGAGACTCATCACGATGGAGAGACTCATGTTTCACTGTGGGATGTACAGCCACACGTCCATAGTCAATGGAGGACTAGACAGCTACATCAAGAAGATGGGAGCAGAAGAATGCTGAAATATACACGCTACCGATCGATATGACTCTTCAATAGGCTAAACAACATGGAAAAACAATACAAAGACAACAGTTGTGAAAGTCAATTGTCACAACTTTACAGAAGGCACGTTGAAAAAATCACTAATAAACAATCACTAGAAGAATTGGTAATAGTAGAACAAAATAAAACAAGATATTTGCTCTAATGCTACACAAAAGGGCTATAATATGTAACACAGAAGTATGGCAAACTGAAACACCGCCGAACCCTAATAAATTTCCTAGTAAACACAAAATAAATCCTAGTATGCCATTCCTACCCAAAAACGTAGACCTAATGACCTACATCAATAGCAAATTCCTTTACAACCAAACAATCCTACCAAAGAGAAATAGAAAAGTTATACTTAGACATAGTACTGCGACGATGCCAACAAAGAGAGAAATTTAAAAAAAAAAAAAAAAAACAGATTACTAATGGCCCCATCCTTACCTAACGCCGTCAGTCAAACTCATGCAGAACAGGCCAGGGTACACATGCAGCAAACACATACCAGAGACCAATGTAGCAGAAGTATAATGCGACAAAGCAAAGCATGTAATCAACCACAGACGCCCACCCAGCAAGACAAACCAACGGAGGCAGACAGCAGCAGTAACGCATCAATATAGTTAACTCGACACGTGGAATTGGCAAACGGACATTAAAACAGCCAAGACGACGCGAGTGAAGTGGCGGATAATTCCCCACAGGGATACGCGATAAGTGAGCGCAAAAACGCGAGTACAATCGTATAGAACAGTTAGAATACGCTTTTCATAATGGACACATGTAATCACAAACAATTGTAATAAGTTAGGAAAGTTCTTTCACTTGTAAAGTTCTATAAGATTAATACAAGATTAACTCAACTTGTCATACACATAGGTTCATTACGGGGGCAGCACGATACATTCGCTGACCCACGGTACAATAGTCTATAAGAAACAGTAAATGATAAAATATAAATTGGGACTTATATAAAAAATATATATGGTAGATTATAAGTAATATAATAATGTAAATAGATAAATTTATTGTTGTAAAAGGAAAAGGCCCCTCGGCCTTTTCTTTTTTTTGCGTAGGGAAGTAATGTAATGTAAGCGTAGCAAGTGAGTGAGAAGTTGGAATAAAGGGATAATGGAACAATAAGTAGCATAGAAAAAGATAATAATTATTCGAGATAATTATCATATATTCCAAATTAAATAAGGGATAATTAATACAGTTTAACTTATACATTTAAATTATACAAAGTATAACAATTGACCTAGTTATTGCATTGTTTTGATAATTGTTTAAACGTATAAAAAGCACGAAACATCCGTGACCCAAATAGGCAGCAATAATACCAAAAACTGCAACTCAGCGAACCTACGACCTTGGTACTAGAACCGGCGTTGAAAGTACGACGACAATAAAACAAGAAGAAACGACGGACGCCGGGCAGTTAGTAATGAGTAGTCAGTAGTAGTAATAGCTGGGCCACCGTGACTGGGACGCGACAGCGTCCCGTACGCGTCCAGTACGCGAGACAGTCGGTGATTTTCCCGGGGGCCGGGTATCTTCTGTCAGAATTCGCGTGTAGGTCCGGTTATTGTGGCAGCTCGAAAGTTCGCAACCTCAACTGACCGAGTTCCAGAAGACTGAACGTGTCGTGGTTGAAGCCCTAATATACACATAAGGTAACACGATTTCTTATACTAACCGTGTAATTATATTTGTACCTCTGTCAACTTTTCAATATCTTGCTACATCGTCTCCCGACGCGCAGATTAACGTGTTAACGATTGTATTAGGAACTTCAGGGTAGATTCAATATATTGTTGACTCTAATATGGTTTTTTTTTTTAATGTTCCTTCCGTCCGACTCACTAGAGACTAGGAGAACACGAGAAATTCTGCGTATACATATCTCCGGCTTCAAAAGTAAGTCCCATAACCTCTACTCTTTAACAGGACCTGAGACGAGGAGTTACTTACCCCTATCCCGAAATCCCTTATCTTCTTATCTCATCACACAAGTAACCAGTATTAGTTTATGTGAATCTCTGTGCAATATTTTATTTAAAAATGTATGTTTTTATTTTAGGGGTAGTACTATTGAAAAAAATTTGTTCCTGACAGTAATGAAAAATGCTCATGCTAGCGGTTGTAAACGTGGATTTTTTCACGTTGTGAACTGGAATCCAACTATAAAAGTATACCAAGAGCTAGGAGCTACTAATGTTACTCAAAAGGACAAGTTCAATGTTTTTAGAATGGAAACGGAAGCTTTGCACAAACTCTTTGCCTAAATTACTAAATATACTGTTACGGAGTTTTTGTTTTTTCTTGTTCCTGATCGACTCGTAACATTTATTTAACCCCTTAAGAACTCATCTCGAGATAATTCGTCTTGCACTTGTTGTACCTAAAATAACCAACCCGAAATATCTCGTTTTGTGCTATTTTGTGGGAATTTAAGCGATTTATTTCGTTCTTTCGAGTTAGGCTGTTGAAATTTGAACGAATTTAGACGGAGTAGTTGTTACAAGTCCTGGCTGCGTAATATTAAACAATGTAGAGGTCGAACAGTCGAGGATTTGTTTCATATAGCTGCCGACCGAGACACATTTTACCAGCTTGCGTACGACAATTGCCAACGCTTGAAAACAAGCAGGGCACACAAAGAAGAAGTTGTTGCAAGGTTGTATCGCGTCAATAAAGTGGTCGAAGGGGGGTTGTAAACGACCTCAGTGTGTAAACAATACGTGCTGCGTCCGATTGTTTATACGCAGACTTTTATTAAATTAAATAGTTATTTTATTCACTATGAATTCTAGCCAGTGTAGTGAAGATTCAGATGACAGTTTTAAGCTAGATGTATCCAGGACATCAGAAAGTGACGGTGAAAGTGACTCAGATTCCAATGAAGATGATGACAGTGCAACAGATTTAGTTCAAGCAGTCCTGGCAATGGATTAGAGTGGATGTAGACCAGAAAGGCCCGGCTCCACCGTTGTTTCCTTTTAGAGGAAATCGGATTGTCATTTCGATAAAAAGGATGTTAAATATAAAGTTGTGTTTTTTTATTTGTTCTTTAATGATGGACTAGTAGATAAAATTGTTCAAGAAATAAATCGTTTTACTAATCAGAAAAGACGATCGTGCTTTTACGCAGAGTTATAAAAGAGAACAAATGGACACCAACGGATAGAAATGAAATGCGAGTATTTTTTTTTTAATTATATTACAGCAGAACTTAGTAAAGAAACGAGTGCACTGGCTTTATTGGTCCAAAAAACAATAATTGAAACGCCTGTTTCCGTAAGATTATGAAATATAAAATTTCTCGATCGATCATTAAAATTTGAAATACTTCTGTTTGTCTGAAGGTATTAATAACTTGTCTTTTCTGTATAAAAGTTTATAGTAAATTTTTGCTCTATATTGGGCCATATTAATCCCTTAACAAACCATTTATTTTTCTAAAAGCGGTTCCAAAAAACCTTTTTTTTTAATTATTGCACTTGCTTCTTCACTTCGTGCAGAACTCAAAAATTTATACAATGTTGATTTTACTCTGTTTTTTATTTTTTTAACGATTAAAGTATTGTGTAAAGCATTCATATTCGTTTTTCACCTAAAAGTAATTCCCAGCAAACTAGACAATAAAATATTTTATAACACTGTGGATGATGATCAAAAAGTATTTATTCAGAAGAGCTTACAGTTCCATTGTAGCATAAAGAACAAGATATGCATATATGTATTTATATTTTCATAATAATGAACACAAACTGAAAGTTAGTTACCGCATGATAAGTCTTGAAGCAGGGCATCGCACAAAGTCTCACATCGCTATCAGGACAGTAGTACCTTGATTCGCGCATCAACTTCTTTCCGGATATATCCTTCGACTTACTACACATCACAGATTCTAGTTGGATGAGCTTTTTTCCCTGTAACAGTAATAACTTCTGGGAAGTATCGACCATTAAGTCTAAGTGAGCTTGGAAGTGTTGAAGGTCTTCCTCTTGACACACCTCTATCTTTGAAGCAAACCTCAATCAGTTGTATTATCAAACCCATTTGAAATTCTAGATGCGTTTGTAGCTCTCCGGTTTTCTTGTATAGTACAAAAGCATCCCGCTCTGCATGTTTGAGGAGGACGAAAAATTTTTTTTTTAATACCTTTCTTTGTTATTTTTTGTTACAGAGTAATCAGCAAGATTTTGGTCGACTCTATCGATACCACCCATAATATTGTTGTAGTCTTGAACAATCCTAGGTTTTTTATCTCCTTTCCTCGCCCTTCTTCAGTAATAATTTTGGCATTATGCGGCGTTGACAACAAACAAACCTCCTGTTTATCCTTCCACTTCATTACTATTTTCTTTTTCAAACGCGTTACCTTCATTTTTCTTAAGTTTGTTCTGCATTTATGGTGGTAGACCCTTTATTTGCATTCTATATAATAGTACCGTACGTAAAAGGTTAGTGAGTTTAGGGGATGAATAAGAGTTGTCTGTAGTCAAACAGTTAGCTTTCGACAGTAGAGGTTTCATTAGCGTCAAAACAATATTGTTGACATTGGAAGATCTCTATATTGTTCGTCAAACTTTGTATCCTTTTCGGCATAAATTGTGGGATATAATTTTATGTCACAGCATGGGACAGCATGTAGTTCTTTATACCAAACTGTTCCCTTTTGTTTGGAATGTATTAAATCCATCCAAGTCTGCCTTTGTAGAGAAGTAAGCTCTCGTCACTTGTTATATCCCTTACCAAATCATACAAAGATTTGTACCTAGCATTTAGGTATTCATAAGCTTCTCGGATCTTATACAGTTTCATAGTTGGTTAAGTATCTTTGTCGAAAGATTCGTTATTAGAGAAATGAAGGTATTGCTTTATTTTGAGAAACCTTTTATATTTCATAATCTTACGGAAAAAAGGTAAAAAAAATCGGCAACAACTTGGTTTTTCAACGAAGACGTTTTATCGTCAAGGGAATAAATTTCAGAAGTATCTCTATTTTCCAAAGAAACAATCTTCGTAGAAACTTTAAAAATATCCAAAGAAACTTTCGAAACAGCAAAACAAACTTTTAAAATATCACATGAAACTTTATTTTTTAATAAAATTGACGATATCGCAACAGCATTCCTGTTGTCAAACATACGTTTCTGGATCATGATCCCTTCTTTCAGAATGTCCTTTATCCTTTGGACTAATTCAGCCTTTTTCCCAATAGAATTTAATTCTCTACCTTCCAATTCGTGTCGTAAATCCGTTACGTTTGAATCACTAAGTTTCGTAGCCATCTTCACAATTATTATTTAAATAACCCACTTGACACCAATGTAATGTTTATTTTAATTTACTTATAGTCTTCTAAAACTAACACTAAATACACAATAACTTTAAAGCATTTATTTATTCATCCGTACAAATTTATAATTTTCGACTGATTTTATACAATTTCGTAATTTTATCTTCATGTATATATATATATATATATATATATATATATATATATATATAATATATATATATATATATATAACGTATATTTGTCTCATCATTCTGGAAGTCTCTCTCCAGCAGCAATAGGTCTCGTTCTCTCGACAATCGACAGATTTTTATATCCCTCGTGACGTCAGAACATCTAGATCTTTATCCAAGGCCTTTAATATGTAAATATTGTTAACTCATAATTTTTGTATAAAATTCATACTTTTTGACCGCCTATATAATAATAATAATAATAATAATATTAATACCACACTGTGCTCACAGACCACACAGTGGCACATAATAGACCAGATCTCATACTAGTTAATAAACTAAAGAGACAAACAACACTAATTGATGTGGCGATACCCAACAACAATAATCTTCGTAATTAAACAGAATCTGGAAATTCAAATACGAAGAAAGTGGAGAATGGAAAGTACCCAGACAATACTTATTATTCTTTTTATTACTGGAGTCATTCCGAAGAACCTCCTAGAAAACATAAAAAGCTAGGTCTCAATGAACATCTCTACAAGACCATGCAGAAAGCTTTACTACTCTCAATGTTTAGATGTGTACAAAAATGTTTGGTATATACTGCAACATACCAAGTCACCTAAGGCTCGATAACACAGAAAGAGTCCCACCAGAGCTCAATCCTTTTGATACCTTAGGTATCTGGGATGAGTAAATTTTCCCCTTAGAGGAAGTGTGAGCCGTATGGCTAAATCAGGGTTTAATAAATGTCTTTATTAAAAAACAAAGTAAATTTCCTTCACAATAAAAAATTATAGTGGGGCGAGAGTCGTTAAAATATTATATCAGTTTGTGTAACAGCGGCATACAACTGCTCTTTTACCTAACCCGTCAAAGATAGGATAGATATACTATACAGGGTGTCCCATAATTAATTGGATATTAGCTAATGGGTGGTAGCTGACATCAAAATTAAGCGTTTGAGCTAAAATTCCTTGGCAAAATATTGCTAGTTTTCGTTCTACTTCTTCTTCTTCATGTGCGTTGTCCGTTCCGAACGTTGGCAATCAACATGGCTATTCTGACTTTGTTTACGGCAGATCTGAATAGTTCATCAGATGACAATCCGAACCATTGCCGCAAGTTTTGGAGCCACGAGTGTCTTCTCCTCCCTGGACCACTTCTGCTGTCTATTTTCCCTTGAACGATCAGCTGTAGTACTCTATATTTATTATGTCTCATAACGGGACCCAAGTATTCCAACTTTCTTTTCTTTATACTTATTCCTACCTCTCTCTCTTTACCTATCCGGCGTAGTACCTCTTCGTTGGTCACAACGAAGTTCAAAAATTGAATTTGTTAAGCAAACGTTAATGTTTGATATAAGGTATAAAAAATGGAATACACAGTTGCAGTGTTAATATGTTAATACCATCATTACCAATAGCTTTACTTTTTATATTATTAATAATATATAAAATATTAATTTCAGATACTGGTTTAAAGGTAAGAAAAGAACACTGAGGGAATACTTAAAGTTATTTTCATAGAATATTTGTGTATCAATGTCTGCTTTCATATTTGGTATGACTTCAATAAAGTGTTTATTTTTCTCATTTACAATCCACACGTTTTTTATTTCGAAGTTATTTTTAGATTTGCAATTATTTATCAAATATTTTAAACTATTCGACATATCTTTAGAAGATTGAGCATGTTTTTAAAATAAGATTTATTGGCTCACATTCATGACTGTTTCTAAGTTTATTAATACTTTATAGCCATTCCATTGATTTATATTTTTAGTGATCTTAGTGACTA